TCGGATCTTTTCTTCCTTTAGACTTTTGATATGTTTTGCGTCGCAGCGTTTGCCTTTTGGCCAGTCTTTTGGTGTTACTGCAACACGTAGATAGTGTTCGACCTTTCTTTCGGGATGTTCACGAGGAGACGATCAAGATACCCACTAGTACACTCTTTACGACTTTAATGTAATAGTACACTGCATCGCTATCTTGACGCATCGCACTATGTCCATAGCACTGCCAGCTTTTAAAACACTTCCGACATCTCACAACAGCACGCGTTCTCGTATAGTTCGCATCATGCCTCATCGGTTCTCGCGCAGTACATTATCGCTGAAGCAGTACGGCGTCCGCAATGCGACTCCTCGCGTCGTATGCTCCCCACACCAGTGGCTGTCTCTCAAGCGCGGATCCTCTAGCTTCCGACATCTAGAAGCGATGATCGCTTCTAATGATCCCCAATATGCGTATTTCCGCCAGCGCAACCCGTTCGTCCCCACCGATCAGCACGCAGCGGCAATACTGTATTGCCGCGTCACTCGGCGTGATTGACCGTCACTGCATGCGTATACCACTTGACTTGCGTGCGTGCGTGGTGGTTAGCATCCGAGCGGCACAGTCTAGCGCTGCGGGTGCGAAGGAATTATTGATCAAATTTCCACCTCCGCGTCCTTCTCTAGTCACCAACTTTAAACAGATGATTGAAAGTTACTCTCCTCCCCAACAATGAGGCTCAGCACTTTCCGTCATTCCATCGTCTTAATACGGAAGGTGCACAATAGTAGACTTACGCCACCGTTCTTTGTTCCAAAGCACCTCAGCGGCTGGCTAAAGGACCATGCAGCAGGCCTGCATGCGACTTATGTGAGAAAGCGGCACAGCCTGGTGTGAAGAAAAGCATTTTGGGGGCCGTCACACAAGACGTGGGTCGCATATTGGGCAGGATGGAAGGCAAGTCAGCCTGGTATGTTGTTGAGCATGATTGACGTGGCAAGTCGCAAAGATCATACCGATCGTGGGATTTAGGATGTTGCGATAGCGGTCATTTCGTGGGGCAAAGCCACACGGTGACTGTCAGAACGCGCTTACGTGGGGCACTCGAGAGAGTACGTTTGAACATATTCTGTAGCGTGGGTAATAAGATTGAAGGCGGGCGTAAATTGGTCATAGTGGGCAAAGACAAGGGCGCGTTCTTGGCGGGCAAGCGTCTTGAATGAAAAATGCACTGGTAAGCCATCAACACCGACCGAACGGTCGACAGATACGAACACATTCTTGTTCGTATTCACGCCACAGGCGTCAGCTCACAATGACGTTGCTCCAAATATGTGTTGTGATTAGAATTGCAGCGACTACGCCGCAATTTATTATTCATTGGCTGTGAACCTCGTTATACTGCCGGCCGTGGTACGCGGCGAGAAGCCGCTGCTAATGCGGGTACCTAGCCGGCGGTCACCTAGCCGGCGGTACCACTCAATGGGGATGATGGGATCGACCCGAGGCTATACTGCCGCTAGAGAACTGCAGGTCCATAATCTGCCAACATCGTGATTATATGTATTAGATCGCTCCACACCTGTGTTTGTGTGGTGTCAGCTGCGAGTCTGGCGGGTCGTGTTGAGTGGTCTGGCCATGGGGCCAAGCCTGGTATTAGTCCTCTCCCGGAACTTGTTCGTCCTCTGCAGCACCCATCTGAACGGCGAACTTGGAGCCTCGTCGCTGGATAGAGTAAGATTGCGATGGCTCAGCGCCGGACGTTGCAGATCCGATAGTCGGTGCCTCCCGTTGAGGTGTTGTTTCTGCCGATGGCTGCTGAGAAGCTGATGCTGACCCAGAAGCCTGTCCCTGGTTCAGGACGTTGGTGAACAAGCTCCACGAATCTCCCTGCTCCAGGAAAGACAGAGGCCATACAATAGCGGTTGCCCAGCTCTGGTCAATGGCCTGATGGCATGCCTTCGATACCCGCTGTCCCCAGCCCTCCATGAACCAGTATCGCGTCTCAGCTGCATGGAACATGGTCGTATAGTACAAGAGAATTACGATCGCACCTGACCTTCGCTGTTGAATGGCTTCCATGAAATCTGGTCCTAATTGCAGAGGCCAAAAGAATAGGAAACGTAGCTCCCGGTTATCCACTCGAGCAGGCAGCGATATCTGGAAAGCGGGCTCGAAGAGGTGAATGACAGTAAGATAAAGTTGTCGTTCGGCCTCTGAGAGATCCGTTCTCCCTTCAATGAACGTAACCAGTGCTGGTAATTGACTTTTCAGCTCTAGCAGCACGGGCTGCGATGCAGTGGGTTCCAACGGATCTCTCAGTATCGGGCCGAGAAAAGAGTCCCTCACTGCCATTTGAGCGAGCGCAAGAACGTGTCCCATACCTTGCATGAGATGGAAGGCATTCACCAGACTATCAATGTCGTTGACAGGTGCAGTAAGAGGTGTCTGGGCCTCGAATCCCGTTGAAGCAAATACGCTGAAGGTGAGTAGTGTCGACGTAGCTACAATCGCCGGGGCGTCTTCGTCGGTTACATTTTGAAGCTTCTCTCGAACTCCCCGAATGGCGAGATCTTGATGATGGATACCGCAAGCATAGTATGGCTGCCGTTGGTCTTGAGGTTGTTGATATGCTTTGTGTAGCGCCGCAAAGGCCAGAATCTCATGCATGAAGAAGTCATGTGCGTTGGCTTGTTTAGGAGCCTCGACTCTCCACATGTGCCGAATGGTAGGTCGTTGGGACAGGGTATCAAATGCCTCTGTTGTCCAGTGGTGTCTAAAACAGTTGGTGACGATCCTGGCAATGGCCCAATTGACTTACAAGAGCTCCAGGTCCCGCAACCATAGCGACGACTGACTCGGTTGGTTTCTGTGTATATATCTAGTCAAGAAAGGGTATGCGTCCGACTGCGAGTCGGAAGAATCCTCTTCCGAGATAGTCGAGACGGCCCTCGCTCCGGCTGCGGTCGACGGGTTGCGCGGGTAGGCCACGTGGGCAGACGATGCCGATGAACCCTGTTACACCAATGAGAAAAGAACGACTATGTTTCATGGCGTTTTATGGGGCATACCGGTATAGATCGTTCGAGCGGTGACTGATTCGTACGTCGTGATGCAGACGATGCGGAAGATGCCGAATGAGCTGACTGGGATGCGCTGGGATCCCAGACGACGAGGCTACACGGAACGCCATGGCGGGCGCAGTTGGTACACGGCTTGAGTTCATCACACTGAGCTACTTCAGTATCGAGTCCTCGTAAGCGTGTAATGCTTAGTTAGAGGTTGTGTCCTACCTTGACATGGCGGGCTTTACATTGCTGGCAGCCTAGTCTGGACCTAGAGAACGTGATCGGGTCAGATAGGAGCGAAGAGTGGTTTTGAGGTATAAAACGGGGATGCTGTGGCTCGAGGGTACGGGGTCGTGGGCGACGAGTGGTAGGAGTGTGGCGTGATGATTACGGACTTTTTGTGGCCGAGGCGCGGCATTGCAGCGAACTACCGTGACCCGAGACCAAAGCTTTGGGCCTCGACAGTGTGACCAACCGATCAGGCTATCGTCGCAACGGACCGTCTCGCTGTTTCAAGCCGCAGGATGAGGGAACAATGCGAATGCGAAGGTGAGGTACGTGTGGACGATGCTGTGGGTGGTGGGTCGGGAGAATCTTCGCGCACAAGGATGATCCCACACTATGCCACGTTCGCTCCAGACGATGCCGAATCGAACTTGACTGCAGCCGCGGCACAGCTCGCATTCGCATTTCGGAGTCCGTAACGAGATAGCTATAGACTCCGACATGTGACGCGGTTGTGGTCGACGTCGCGATCCATTGGGTTGTGCGTCATCCGGCTTCTTCCGCCGCTTCAATCATCTCGCGTTCGCATCATAGCGTCATCCTCAAGACGGGAACATCGAAATCGACCCTGACCAACGGTACGATGGTATAATGCCACCCGTTAAGTAGGAGTCGAGGAAGCACGAGCCCAGAAATATATGCGAGAGCGGCCTGATCGGCAGACCATAGTGGACGCGTTCGCACAACCTCCATCGTTATCAAAACCAACTAAGGCATACGTATGAGTCAAAAACTATGGAGAAAGAGCTTGGAACTCGCGGGTCAATAACATGCCCAGGCAGAATTCTGCTAAGACTTCGGTATGGTACTCCAACGCGCCTTAACCTCATCCACATTATCCAAATGTAAGATGCGCATCAAGTTCCACGATTGCAATGCATCGCATATTGCTTTTTTCCTCTCAGCTCGGATGGGTGATGGCTTCACGAAAAAGAACCGCGGCAAGCCAACTAATGCACTAGGCGCCTTGACGCCCCATCGTCGTTGGCATCGTCGGGGTAGTCTTGTCGTTATTGCACGCATGCATGATACAATTCTTTTGTGAACTGGGTGGTTACTTCTCGAGCCATGCCAGTAGCGAACGTCACATTACGAAGAAAGAGCCTTGGCAAATGCTTACCTGCCACAGCACAGTTGCGGTGCGAATTCCCGACTTGTCCCTTTGCGGCCTTCCACCCGTGTCATTGCTGGATGCTTTGCCAGGGCCGCTCTCTGAACAGAGAACAGAGTGTGAACCCTATGTAGCAGCTGGAAGCCGGACGTGCACATGTGCAGAGCAGAATGTGGGTATCGTATGACCAAGGCGCAGTCAAGATCAGGTGTAGGGTGGTTTGAATGGGTCCTCTTTGACTCACATCTGTGTGACGCAGAGCGAGATGAGCCACTCACGACTTCCGCAACATCGACGACCTTGACGAAAAGATACTCTCACGAATGAGAGAAATCGCAAGTATAATATGCTGGTTTGAATGGGGTTGGGTCGTATTGGCTCTCTGAACATGGAAGAGATTTCACAGTGGCATTCTAACCACGGTTCTCTCAACAGTGTGAAAAAGGCCGCAGTAGAAAGCTCCAGGGCTCACGCTTCTAAACAGAAATATTCTAACCATTCAACCCACTACACAAATCAGTGCAACGTTTACATCTAGATCCTTCATTAAACGCAGGCAATGGATTCGCATCAATCAACCGACTTGTTTACGACGACAACATCGTATGGATCTGTCGAACCGGCTGCAGACGTAGTCGATGGAGTCCACAAGCTTGCCATAGAGGAAGAAGACGACTACGAAGTACACGAAGACGAATCCGTGACCCCCGAGGAGATTGACCCGTACGATTCAGACGACTCTGATGCATTCGAATACCGTGTAGATCTTGCTACTCAGGAGCTCCAGCATGCGCACAAACCAGTTCATACGCGCGCACTAATCGAGCGTGTAAAAGATTGGGTTGATCAGATCCGTGGAGAGTTCTCTTTAGCATCTAAGCAGCGAGTACTCAATCATATCGATGCTTCCGGGCTGAGCAAGAAAAAGTACAGGGTCTGGAATCGGGATGACGTTAAGGCCAACACCATCCGAGTTGACTATCTCTCGCGAGTTGAGATGCATCCTGACTTTCAAAGTCAATATGGAAACCATTCAGAACAGGTCAAGACTCTCCGACGCTACAACAAAGACCACAAGCAAGACTGCATCGACACGCCATACACTTTCACAACCTTTGATCGATGCTTCTTCAATGAACACAAGAACATAGCAAAGATGAGGACATATTGGAGCACTATACAACACACAAAACGCCTTTGGATAGCGAGTTCCGCGAGAAGACAGCTGATAGAAGCATTCCAGGAGACAGCCAAGACGTGCGCACCGATCACGCAGGTTGTCTGCTTTGGGATAGGCGCGCTTAATCTTAAGAAGAACTGGTACCATTCCGCCATCCAATATATGGCCATCTTCAGCATTATACAAGCACTGGATCAGTACTACCATCAGGCCGACCCCGCTCGGCCTTTGATCAAGCTGGTACTACAAGATCCGAATTACGAGACCAAAGATCATGAGATCTTGCGAAAATTGTTCAACAACAACGACAATATCAGCTTCGTGTCCGACCCGGATGGTCTCCTCGCAATTAATGCGGGAACGCTAGTCGTGACAGCCCATCTCCCCTTCCAAATGCCCCTGGTCCAGATAATAGCCGATCTAATCTCGGAAAATCCTGGTCAAGGCCCAGCGGCAATACTATGCGACATCATGGAAGTCGATACTGAGAAGCGGGAGTACTCGTTTAGCGAGCGCGCATCTCCAGGTGTTGCCCGGCATTTCACGAACCATTACGAAAGGGAAGAGGATAGATTTGATCTCGGATTAGAAGATGAGCTCATGGCAGATGCATATGGAGAAGATTGGCTGGAGAAGGACAGAACGTACTGGCTGAACAACATGGATCTATGGGTGCGAAAAAGCGGTGGAATCCAAGAACGGCACGTTCAAGATCAGTAAGCAAGTAAAGGTGGCTGGAGGGTCATTATACCAGCAAGCATATCATTATGGCTCACCTTCATGGCATCAAGGGATATACGTCACAACGCCCACGCGTGAATACGACGGACTGGATCGGATAAATATTTTGAGCTCACACATGTCTCAAACTTTTGCCGCCTTCGCATGCGCTTGAAACACTGGAATGAATAGCCATCGCAATACCTGGGGTATACATCAGTCTGTTTCACTCCTGATCTTCACGGCTGCGACATGTTTGAGGACTACACTGTTTGTTCACAGTTTGCTAGTGAATACGTACAATGAAGTGCACAATGCTATAAGTTGCCTGGGCACATCCATGTCGATCTCATCTTCATCTCCCTCAAAACCCACTAGCTGGTTCAATTGCAACATCTACCCTATCGCTCGCCATGCCTGTAACAACAAGATCTCAGTCCAAGGCCAGACCATCTTCTGGTATGCCTTTACCCTCCGAGGAACCATCCTCGGCTAAGGAGATACAAGCTGACGACGTGATACCTGACATAAAGGATGCGAACAATCCTTCTGAGAATCCTTCAGCTAGCGACTCCGAGGTAGTGCTAGGGGGTTACTGTAGCTGTGGCTGTGATTCTGAGTTCAGCTCTGACTACGATTCTGAATTTAGCTCTGACTACGACTCTGAGAGTTCATATACAGAACGACCACCGACAACGCAGGAGTGGTTTAATCACCCTGTTGATCTTGTCGCTTTGGAAAGGTCACAGGGAAACACACCAATCTATACACGTTCTCTGCTTCGCCGAATCCGCAAGCAACAACAGAAAGTGCTTCACCAAATGAACCATCCATACAACCACCCTACAATGAAATATCTCACTTGGCGAGACCCGGACGGTCGTCTTACGAAAACCTGGGCGGATGGGAAGTTTGGTCACTCCAACGACGAGCAAATCAAACATGTCGGAGTTGAATTTGTACCCCGTGTAGCGTTCGATCGAGACTTTCAGCGCAAGTATGGACTGGAGGTGAATGCAATATTCTGGTTACGGATGTATAACGACACTCTCCCCTTGCCGGCCGGTATCCTGGGAGTAGCTTTCGATGCTCCTTACGCGCTTCACACGCAGCAGCAGGAGAAGACTAACGAACACAAAGATGCAGAGCAGATGCAGCGATATCGCGATGCGATCGCACAAGCGTTGGCCTTCTGGGGAGAAAGCGACTTGCGGAGCAAATTCATCGAGAACATTAGGGAAGTTCTGAAGCTGTCGACGCGGATTAGAAAGATTGTGTGCTTTGGATTGGGAGCACCAAGGTCAGATCGTATCTTGGACGAAGCGTTCCAGCACATGTCCGTTTTCTGCATAGCGAACATCTTAGCCAGGCGCTACAAAAAGAAGCCAAAGAAGGCAAAGAAGATACAGATCCTCCTCCAGGACGTTCAATACGAAGAGAGAGACTGGACGCTATTTAAGGAGCTTCATACAGCTATGGGCTGTGAAACTAGCAGCGAAATAGAGTTCGTCCGCGACCCAGACGGCCTTCTCGCCATTGACTCCCACACCATGGTAATCGCTCCTCATCTACCCGTCACATTTCCTTGGGCTCAGATTATCGCCGATATATTTGCGTCGGGATCGGGACCGGCTGTCATTATGGGGGATAACCTCGATGACGATGCTGAGAAGGAAGTGTTTGATCTTCACGACCGTGGATCATCAGCCGTGGCGAGATTTCTGTCAGATCGATACATGAAGACCCAGACAGGTCTCAAAAGTGAAGGACCCAGAGCACGACTGCCCGCAGAAATGAGAGAGTACACCACCCCGTGGACGGTAGATTGGCTTCCAGATATGGATATCTTTATAAGGAAACAGAGTATGTAGAAAGGATGGGAGGGACGACATACAGACGGTTTACAGCCCTCACTACTTGAAAGAGTGCTACATTGATGTATCTGCTCCGTCATTCGCACCCGACTCTTTACCCATCGCACTGTTTCGATAAATAGCTATGCTAATTCCGCTAATTTACATTGCTACCCGTGTCTCATCTCATCACTTATCTTACCTTCCCAACTGCATATCAGTACCGTCAATAAACAGCAAAAAGTAATGGACATGACGGAAATCGAATCCGTATCTCCAGAACGAGCCGGGTGTTAATGCCACCCGTTGTTGCCCTCGCCTAAACCGTTGAAGGCCAGACTACCAGCCCTTGCTTGTTACCACAAGGTAAGGTCCCAACGTCGTAACCATTAGACCACATGCCCTGCGGGTACGTTTATAGCGATAAGCGCAAACTACAAGATTAATATAAGCATCTACAAAACAAAAGTATTAGCAAAAGAGAAGGTTTCAACCCAATACCGCTCCAAAGTTGCACTCCGACCCATACTTTCTCTCACCCGCAATCTTACCAACCTCTTTACCCTGCTCTCCTCTTCCATCGGGTGACCTCAACACCGCCAAAAAGATAGGCACAGCGAGACTCGAACTCGCATCTCCCTATGTACAGATCAGGGCGGCGTTTTCAACTGTAGCTTTCTCCGCTAACTGCAGGACCAGCGGCAGAGCTTGGATTACCGCGGTTCTATTCTCAGGGCATCTTAACCATTAGACTATATGCCTTGAACATGTTCGATAGGTCACCGGTGAGTAAGAGAAGATACATTAGATCGAGTTGCAGCGTGGTAAGAAAAGAAGTGAGCTATTCGGGTGCGTTTGTGCGGTCAAACATTGCGATAGCAAACCATGCCGACATAGCAAGGCGGCCCTTTGCAGCGTCCTAATCCAAAATGAAACTATTAGGCCATCGCAAAGAGCAAAAATGATTGGACATGGCGAGACTCGAACCCGCATTTCTCTGCAATACCCAAAGGAAAACGATGGATACGCCCTAGTCGTCTAGGTGAGGATCTTACCATTAGACGACATGCCCTTGATAGTCGTTGGTGAGCGATTCAAGGATGGCTAAAGCTATAGCAACGGACATTGAGCGGAACAAAAAAACATGATGGACATGGCGAGAATCGAACCCGCATTTCTCGTAACCAAAGAAGTTAATCAGTGGGAAGCGGTGGCGAATGGAATGAGCCAACAATTTGCATTGATGGAGAGAGCCAACGAGTTGAATCGCCAGTGGAGCCAACAATTTTCATTGATGGAGAGAGAAGGTGGTGTACTGTGCTCAAGCGTCCTACCATTAGACGACATGCCCGTGAGATGATGTTTGATGGGATGAAAGGGGATTGGATGGCATATGTAGACGTCGGGTACACTCAATATTGCGAGAAGTGTGTGTGGCGATGCGGAAGCGTCATGGTTTGATGCAGAAGCTGCTACGCGTCATCTTGATGTGTTGTGGCAGTCGCTGATGGTGGTGGCAGGCGTGGGCAAGAGGGTTGCGGGAGCTTTGGGAAGGCGCGATGAGGTAGGAGCGTGGAAGCCAACCACTCTGTAGCCCATAATCTTCTAGCGACGGGACACTACGTAGTCATGAATTCCTATTCTATGTCGTAGGCCTACTAAATCAGGGTATAATCGCATATAATCATCCACTCACTCAGTACCCTGCCAATAGCCGCCAGACCGCTTCCATCTAGCTCAACAACTCCTTAATATCCTCAATCCTCTGTACTCTCTTCTCCTCATCACTCATCATACCCAGCGAGCTCGCACTGCGTCATGTTAGCATTCACTCTCTCCATCCAATTGTTTTGCTTCCACTTACATAAACTTCTTCCTCTCCTGTATCCTAAGCATCTTCTCCTCAATACTCCCCTCCACACAAAACCGTATTACCTTAACCTCCCTCTCCTGACCCATACGGTGCACACGATCGATAGCCTGGGCCTCGACAGCAAAACTCCACCATGGGTCCATCATGAAGACTTTGTTTGCACAGGTCAAGTTCAGACCTACGCCACCTGCTCTCAAACTGAGGAGCAGGACGTATGGTTTCGGGGATGTGGTGAACTCGGTGAGGATTTGGGCGCGCACTTTCTGGCTGATGGAGCCGTCGAAGCGGAGGAAGGGGATGTGGTCGCGGGTTAGAGCTGGTTCGATGAGGTCAAGGAAGGATGTGAATTGCGAGAAGACGACGGTCTTTGCGCCCTTCTCTTCTTTGCGGGTTTTCTTGAGATGGCCTAAGAGAGCTTGGGTTTTGGCGGAGCCGGTGACGCCGATGCGACGAAGGCTAATGCGCGGAGTTTGTGTGGAAGTAGGCGGTGCGTCAGTGGCGCGGAACGCGTGATTATCTTCGTCTCCTTCGGTGACATTGTCATGCCGGATGACTTCAAAGACGTCGCGCGCGTTAATGGGTTCGCGGCAGTTCCAACAGCGTGGTATCTCGTTTTTGTCGCGCTGATGGGCTATGTAACTGAGTAAGCATTCTTTGCAGGCTGAGTGCCAACAGCCGGTGACTGCTTGCTCGATCATAGGTTCTTCGGAGCAAATTGGACATTCAGCCGCGGATTCGTCTTGTATCTGTTTCAAGACATGTGCGCCGAACCTGTTGACATCTTGGTCGCCCTCGGCAGTGAAGCGTTCAATCAGAGAGGAGAGGTCCATATCATCCGCCAGTCCGTTTGCAAGATCCGATGCTAACGAGGCGTCTTCTTCGTCAGCGACGAGGTTGCGATTTCGTGTCAGGACAGGATGGCAGCATGATTGCCGTAATCGTAAAATCTGTGCAAAGATCGTTGTGTAGGACTTCATCAGTGTGCCGGCTTCTGCATTGGCATTGACCAGACTCTTTGCGCGCAGAAAGATGTGATCGTATACATCCCGCTCGTCCTGCGACAGCACGATTTTCTCAACTTCGATCGTCCGAGGGGGCAATGGTACTAGAGCTTCACCATCGGGTGTCTTCATGTCCTTCGTTCGTCGAAGCACTAGTGGCTCAAGGACTGTCTGAACCACATTCAAGGCACGTACAAAGTCGCCTGATTCGAACGGTACAGTGATGAATGTCTTCCAGAATGAGAAGTTCGCCCACGGCTCAACCTTGAGGAAGCGGACGAGACTGAATAGATCTTCCAAGCGGTTCACGATGGGTGTTCCTGTAAGCGCCCATCGGTGTTTTGCACTGAGCTCATAACATGCTTTCGCCGTTTTCGACTGCCGGTTCTTGATGTAGTGCGCTTCGTCCAGGATGATGCGGAAGTATTCGAGCGAGAAGATGCCACCATGCGAGCCACGGTTCCCTTCCTGTGCAACCACCTGGTTATACTCTGACAGAACTGTGCCGTAGCTCGTTATGATAACGTTGGGTGCATTAGCGCCGTTCGATGCACAACATAGCTTCTGCAGATTCACAGCTTTCTCCGAGCCGTAGTAGAGCATGGCCTTCAGTGTACCTTCTTTGGACGCCTTTTCGGCTTCGCTGTGCCATTGTGCCAGCAATGACATGGGTGCTATGACGAGTGTGGTGTATGGCGCAGGCTCAACTTCGGCACTGAGCTTTTGCAACCGGGGAAGAGCCTTCCGCGTCGCCAAAGCATCCTCGTCAACTTCTGTCCTATTTGTATGGATCAAGCTGAGCATCTCGATGGTCTTACCCAGACCCATCTCATCAGCGAGTATACCGCCAAGGCAGTTCTGCTCTTGTTTCGGGAACTCAAGCGAGAGCTCACCAGAGTAGGGATTGACGTAGAACATGGTCTGGTCTTCGATGGTCGGTATTGGCTGATTGTCTGCATCGTGAGTTGGCCACTGGTATTCCTCCCACAAAGGATGCATCGAGGTCTCCTTGTCCTCTATCGACTCATTCCTTTCCTTGCTGACCATCCAAAAGAGCGCCTGCTTCTGATACTTGCGCAAGTCCATGCGGAAGGTGCTTGCTGGCTCCATGGTTGGGGTGTCGAAGTCAAAAGACTGCGCCTTCTTGTACAGTGAATCCAGTTGATCTTGTTCCAGCTCTTCTCCTTCTTCGGCTTCGTCGGGCGGCGGGGAGGATGTGGGGTTGGTAGACGTCGCAGGCGTGGAGGGTGTTCCGTTCTTTGGCTTCGGCTTATCACCTTTCTTCTCCTCGCTCTCTGCTGCCTGCAATAGACCTTGTCGCTTGTGCTTCGCCGTCTCTTCATTTTCGCGGGTCGGTTGGAGGTTGATGTTATCGAACAGCTTCACAAGAGCGACTTGCCGTAGCCGAAGGTCTCGCTCGTCGGACGATTCCTTCTCTTCGAACAGATTGATCTCTCGATTGTTGTCCGGTTTGGCAAATTTACGCGAATCGAATGCTGCGCGAACGAAAAAGGCTCGTAGTTGTAGGTATATGGTATCGCCTGTGCGGATTTTGTCGGGCGTGTATACAACCGAGCCGTCGAAAGAGCACACTTTCTGATCGAGGAGCACGGATACCCAGGCAGCTGAGTCGTTGTCCAACCTGCCAACTTCGGCCCCACGCTCATTCATGAACCTGACTACGATATCTGGCTTTGAGAGTTTGATGACCTTCTTTGCCTTGTTGAGTTTGGGTTGTGGCTTGGTGCGCTCGATGCATATCTTTTCGTCGTGCTTCAGCTGAGATCCGCTCTTGGTAGCAAAGCCTACGACGCCAAATGAGCCAATGTAGCGCTTGCTGGGCATCTCTCGCAGTATCGTGGGTGTAGAGGTGCCTGAACCTGGTGTGGACGCGTTCGACATTTCAGATTCGGTTCGATTGAGGGTTTTCGCTATCGTCATCTGGATGGGCTGTCGGCCGGATTTGAAGATGGGTGCGGGGGACGGTGAGGGCATCTTGTTCCATGAGCCGTCCAAATATAGGTTGATAGCTGCACATTGTCAGCCATGCAACTACAATCTTACATTTACTGGCATACCTCGTTCTACATTGCTTCCACTGACGTCTCTCAGCTTCTGCAATACCGTGGTAGAGAGTTCTCCAACAACAGCCTGGAGCATTCCAACATCGAAACTCCCAAAATCGGGCTCATCCTCGTTGTCATTGCTTTCGTCTGGTGGTTCTGTGCCGTCTAGTGGCGGCGACGATGGGGTTGGTTCGATGGGTTTCGACGGCGGCTGAGTAGGGGAGGAGTCTTCTATGAAGAATCGGCGCTTCTTGACGGGTCTCTCGTCTGGGTGTGGTGACTCCATCGTGTTGTGTCGTGTGTCGGTGTTGCGCTTCCGTCGCATGCGCCCAATTCGTCCAGTCGCGTCGACGCGCTTTCACGTGGCGACTGCGGGTGATCGACGTAATAGCGTCATACAACCCACCAGTCGCCGTGCACTCTTTGTGCCTTACACGAGCAATTGCGCCTCCTCCAGATTGCGCAAACACATGCATCTTCTACGACGATAGATTAGATTTCCTTCATCCTCTGTCAGATTCCCATGCATCTTCGCTTTGTACAGTAGTTTTCGTCTTCTCAAAAGTTTTCAATGCCACCTCGGAGGCTCTGCACAGCTCCCGTTCGGCGCATACACACCTACCCAAGACCACGACGGAGGCAATTGCACACCTCGCCACGACTTCAGAATGCCGCTCGCCCCTCAGAAGATGAGATTGCACGCGCACGTGCTTACTGCGCGAATCTAGTCAGGTAGCCTCGCCATAGCAACCCTCTTCTGTCGCACACTGACGAAACGGCAGAACATACGATGCGCCCTCACATGTCCTTCAAACCTTCATACCACAATCCTCCCGAGATGCATACCTCGCGATTCGCGCCTTCAACGTCGATGTCGCCCGCGTCGCCGACACGACGAGCACACCCACAATTGGCATGATGCGCATGCAATTCTGGAGAGATACCGTCACGAAAGCATTAGCCGGCACACCTCCGAAAGAGCCAGTCGCCATACTGCTAGCACAAGCAGCTGAGGACCTGCATGAGCGATCTGGTGGGAAGGCGCGACTGAGCAAGAACTGGTTTCACCGCATCATCAACACCAGAGAACAGTACCTAGGGAACCCACCGTATCCCACGTTGAGCGCACTGGAAAGCTATGCGGAGAATACATACTCGACCATGTTGTATCTGACGCTGTCAGCGCTGCCCCAGGCCTCGCTCACCACCGACCACATCGCATCGCATATCGGCAAGGCCATGGGCATCGCAGCTGTACTACGAGGCATCCCACTCATCGCCTTCCCTCCACAACAACCACTAGGCACCAGCAACTCCATGACCGGGCAGTCTGGACCCACACAAGGCGCCGTACTCCTCCCACTTGACGTAATGGCCGAAGCCAATGTCCGCGAAGAAGACGTCTTCCGACAAGGCGCTTCGGCCCCCGGTCTCCGCGACGCCATCTTCACTGTCGCAACACGCGCGAACGACCACCTCATCACCGCCCGCGAGATGCTGTCCAAGCTACGATCCGAAGGCACACTCGGCCACGACTTCGAACACCAGAATGAGGAGGAACATCAGTACAGCGCACAGCAGATGAACACGGGGCAGGACGCACAATTAGCGGAGGTAGAACAGGCATTCGGTGTCTTTATGCCGAGCATAGCGACACAGTCTTGGCTGGATAGGTTACAAGGAGTCGACTTTGACATCTTCGATGCGAATCTGAGGAAGGTCGACTGGAAGCTGCCCATGAAAGCGTATTGGGCGTATAGTCGGCGGAAGATATAATGCTCGAAACGAATGAATCAATAACACATGGAATTCTCAGAGTTGCAATGCTTTCTAAACGATGATGCTGATCATCACCAATTCGCATGATGGCTAAGTACAGATCACAACCAAAGAACTCGACCAGTGCCATCAAGGATGGCCTACATGGTTTTTAGTTCCCCCTCTTTTTGAGCACGAGGCTGAGGGTAGAGAGAAGGAGGCTTTGTGAAAATCCGCCTCTTTATATACCCGTCCAGGACCCTCTTCGCAAAGGAGCCGGTAGCCTGATTGGGATTTCGCGAAGACGACATTGTAAAGTCGAACGATCGTTTCGGAGTACAGCCCAAATCTCTGCACAGAAACTTATGTATTTCGATCTCATGTCTTTGTTGAACGGCATCCCATAAGTGTGAAGAAATGTGGTTTTTGTTTTCGCATTGACTTTTGTGCCAGTTGATGGGTCGCAGCAACACGTGTGTTGGAGTGCTTCCCATTTTGAAAGCCAGGGCTTTTCAATAAACAATATCTGGCGCCTCGTTCTCGGGGCAAAAGCCGAACAGGAGAAGGACAGACACTCATGTTGACATGCTCACAGACTTTTGGAGGTAAAGTGCAGGAAGTTGGCTTTCGGCGGAAGAGCGAGGACACTGCTCATGGTTCCTTTCTGGTCTAGTTTTGGAGAGCGAGAGCCGAACACATGAAAGGCTTGATCCCTCGTTTTTGGAGCAAAAGAGAAGAAGATGGGACTTGAGGAGTAAGTAAGTGCACGAAAGGCGAGGTTAATATATGCCAGGAGCCAGCGGTGGACACTCAGCGCAGCATATCGCGAGACCAACTGATTTTCGATTTTTGATGTGCTCTCATGTGCTCTTGTTGCTCAGACAAAACACAGGCAGTGTATCCAGATTTTTTGAGAGTCTCCAGGGCTCGTCGCGCAGAACAACATGTATATGTCCCGGGTTCTTTTTGATATCTTGTTGCAAGTGATAATGGAAGATGGAAGGCCGAGAGAATATGTCTTGTACTAATTTGGTGGGAGAGACTCGGAAATCATTCTTTGCGCAAGAGCGGGGACAATGCTCATGAGCCCTTTTCCGTTGCGTTTTGGAAAAAAAAGGGCGGACACATCCCATGCTGATATTTTTGTTTTGTTTTGGAGAACAAAGTCGATATGAAGAGGAGTTGAGGAAGAAGACGAGCGAAAGTCGAGGTTCATATATCCGACCAACTGGAGGTAGGCTAGGGCGCAACATGTGACGCAAAGCTTTGTTTTTGTTCAACGTTGCACCTTATATCTCCTCGTCTTGTCGCACAGACAGAACATAAAGTAATAGACTAGAGGTTCTTAGAGATGTAATACTTCTCTCTTTATAGAGTATCTTCTTACGTATAAGTTATATAAAATATAGAAAGTATAGTTAGCTTATTATTTTTAAGTTACTTTTAAGTTATTATAGTACTATAAAATAGTAATACTAAACTATAAGCTTTAAATTTTACGTATATAGTAATAAGTTAAAAAGAGAAGTATATAAAGTATACTATAGTATCTTTATTACTTTTATAATATATATATTATACTACTTATACTTTTTTTTTTTATAATAGTAATTATTTTTATAATTATCTACTTTAATATTTATACTTACTTAGCTTACTTTATAACTTTACGTCTTACTAGTAAGCTTATTATAAAAATACTTAGTATTTATTAGTAACTTTACTTATTACTTTTAGCTTAAAAAATATAAAATATAAAGTTATACTTACTTTTTTTAAGTACTTAAATAGGTATATATAATACTTATTTATTAGATATACTACTTACTACTTATATAAGAATAACTTTAGTAGCTAAAGCTTTTTTTTTAGCTAAGAAATTAGCTATATAAAGCTTACTCTTTTACCTTTAATAATACGCCTATATACTTACTTTAGTAAAAACTACCTTTATAAGCTAAATTAGCTTTTATAATAATAATAAATAATATATAAAGACTAATATTATCTTTATACTTTATAGTTTATAAGTTTTAATATAGTATAAAGTTTAAGCTACTTAGGCTATCTTAAAATAGTAGAAACTAGTATATAAAAAGTAATATTACTTAGTATAGAAACTAAAATTAAGTAATAAATTATATTTTAGAATAAATTTAACGTATTTAATTATATAGGGCTAAAGTAAGTAATAGACCATAACTTTTAAATAACTCGGCCGAGAGAACGACATAGAATGCCTCCACGTGTGTTTCGGTATTTGATCGAAGTGATAACGCAAGATTGAAGAAGGAGAAAGAGAAGGCGAGACCAAGAAGTCTTATACAGATCATTTTGTATTGCGAGCTACTCCCCATGAAGATGTTGCCGGTCGGAGGCCAACTGCACATCGCATGCTTGACTCGGTATTTTGGAAAATGCACATCCATATGGTTTTGGACAGTATGAATGAGGAGAATTACCAGGGGAAGAAAGGAAGAGAAGAAGGGATAAAGATGCGCATTTTATACTCCTCCGTTTCTCGCCGCAGATTCGCAGTGGTGGTAGAGCCCGACGTAGTGCGGCCGGTCATGCGCAATAAGATGTAAGATTGAAAGATGACCGCGACCATGACAACGTCGCTTCTGTTCGCAAGTGAGAACCTACACAGGAGGTATGCGTGCGGTACGCGCGTAAGATCAAAGCAAACTATTGATTCGGATGAATGACACGGAAAGCGAGGATCAGAGCCCCGCCCTTTCGTATCCGATTTGGTTAGTCTACGCATCCTGCGTGTCATTGTCCTAGAGGGTATCACGTCGCAGACTCATCGCTTGGGTATAAGTTACGTTTACCTTCGTTCACAAATTCCGTACCGTGATTGTCGCAAAGACGGCAGTTGAGAATGGCGTCAAATGTGCGTGCCTTTCGTTGCGACCCCCTGACCTCGGGACTATCCCCACGCTAACAACAACAGCCAAACGCATCGATAACCTGGGCGGCATCTCAGAAAGAAGATGCGTCCAAAGTTGGGTTTCTGGACTTACCGCGCGAACTTCGCGACATGATCTACGAGTTCGCGTTCCGCATCAAAGGCGCGGTTCTCGTCTACTCGCGCGACCCCTTCGCAGTTCGGCCGGTGATGAGAGTGCTGAACATCCGACATGGCGGCGAAGGACCGATTGAACCACAACCCTTATGCAGCGGCCAGATCCCGGTAGCACTCATAAGGACGTGTCGACAGCTTCGCGCAGAAAGCAGCCCTGTTTTCTACGGGTCGAACGTTTTTTCTTTCTGGGCGCTGGGCAACATCGACGTGGGTTCCGCCAATCGGTGTTTGGTACGGCACATTGTGACTGAAGCAAGTCCTCGCGGCATCTTCGACAAGTCTCTCGAGCACGTCAGCTATTGCTGGAAGAGGAGGTTTTGGCCTGAGATATTGCGTAGCAGCGAGGCTATATTGGAGCACTTCCCATACCTAGACACGCTGACGTACTCACTGAAGCCACCGCGTGAGGAGGTTTGGAAACCTGCTTTCTTTGATGTGGCCAACAAAACTAGAGAGCAGCGTGTCGATCTGGTTGCTAGTTGGATGGGTCAAATGTGTCCTTGGGAGAACGAGCGACTGCGTCGGATTGTGCATCTCGAGATGGTGCCTTCGCCTGGGCTCTCGAGAGATGAATATGCGGGTTCGCGGTTCGTTCTTGAAGACGAAGACGTCTGGGACTACACTGAGTTCGTGGATGCATTCGAGCGGATGAAGATATCGATCTAATTAGATAGGCGGAGAAGCATATCGATTATATAAAAGCAATATGAGCATTCTGTGCGTGGCCACGTTAGCAGAACCATCGTTCGGTGCAGGATGACGGAAGGAGGCATGATCGTGTGAGCCTTGCCTTTTCCGCCACATCTATCTCATTTCTTGAGCCCTTGGCACGATATGTGCTTTTCTCCACACGATGCAAGCAGAAACTCGAAGTTTGGTACCGGCATCCCTACGAACTGGTGGCTCAACTGGTAAGCGACGAGGCTAGATCGCCGGCCGATTCCGGCAACTACACCCAAGCCGCAGATGTCAAGCACGGCATCAAGAAAACGCCATTCCGCGCTCAGATCTCACAAAAAAAGATCCAATTGTCATCGACATGTTTCTCCGACCAGCGCGCACCTGCACACGTTCACTCTCCACATCAACCCGCGCAATTGCGGCCCGGCCGTCCATAAACCCACCAAACGACGCTTTCCGAAACCGGCAAAACCTAGTTCCCAAATTTTCGACAAAACAGTCATCATTGCAATTGAGCAGCCGGCGATTCATAGCAACCTTCGTACCGCGACTTCAACAAATCGGCTCCGCAGAACGGATTTCAACATCCAAAATGGCAGGCGACGATCACTACCTCACGCTCTCATGCCCGGATAAGGCAGGCATTGTGTATGCCGTCACGGGCCTACTGGCAAAGGAAAACCTCACGATTCTCGATCTCCAGCAATTCTCCGACCCAGACTCCAAGACCTTCTTCATGCGTGTGCATTTCGGCCATGCAGCAGATGTGACCGCGCTGCAAGAAAGCATGAAGAAGCTCGCTTCGGAAATGAGCATGACATACCAGATCCAACGGGTAGACTCCAAGCCCAAAGTCCTCATCATGGTATCCAAAATCGGACACTGCCTCAACGACCTCTTGTTCCGCGTCAAGTCTGGCCAACTCAAAGTCGAAGTCCCGATCATTGTATCCAACCACCCCGAGTTTGCCGAGCTGGCAAAGAACAACGGCATTGAGTTCCACCACCTTCCTGTAACCAAGGACACCAAGGAGAAGCAGGAGACGCAGATTCTGGATCTCATCAAGCAACACAATATCGACCTTGTTGTTCTGGCGCGCTACATGCAGGTCCTCTCACCGCGCCTGTGCACGGAGATGTCGGGCAAGATTATCAACATTCATCACTCTTTCTTGCCTTCGTTCAAGGGCGCGAAACCTTACCATCAGGCTTACGAGCGTGGTGTCAAGATCATCGGTGCGACGGCACATTTCGTTACCGCGGATCTGGACGAGGGACCGATCATTGAACAGCGCGTTGCGAGGGTCGACCATGCGTTGAGTCCCAAGGAGTTGGTCGAGGAGGGTAGCAATGTCGAGAGTCAGGTCTTGGCTGCGGCAGTCAAATGGTGGAGCGAGAAGAGGGTGTTCTTGAACGGTCAAAAGACTGTTGTGTTCAACTAAAGCGTGCCATCAAAACTCGACGAAAAGCAATGTAAATATACACATGTGTCATGAAAAGCGTCTGAAAATTAATCTACAATGAATTGCGCGCTCACCACTTCACGCGCAGGCCTTCGAAACTTCTCGGCATAGGTGGAAAGTCAGCAGACAGGCCATCTTCGCCAATGTACTTCTCCTTGAGAAGGAGGCAGGTCGAGCATAGCCGCTCCCCGATTGAGTGTTCACCGAGCCATATCCGGCCTTGAGCGCTGTAAAGCAAAGTCGCGATGTCGGTGAACATGTTCGATGTGGAATTGGTCTGGAGGTCGGTATCGTTGAAAATGTGCGGCTGGGCGTCGAAGAACTCGTCATCCGATTGCGGGTCATCGTCGATGTCGTCCGTTTGAAGCATTCCGGTATAGTCCTGAAGCTCTTCTAATATCGTCGAGCCTTTTTGAATCGTGTCGCAGACACAATTCGAGTTGTGGCCGGACTTGACGCATTCTGCGACGGCTATACGCGCGGGTTCGACCAGCCCGCCAGCAAATGGACCGTAGTCGTCTCCGCAGTGAGTGCATGCAGTTCCTGGTGACTTTCCAGCGCCATGAGGGATATCCTTGGACTGAGTCAGCACACAGACGAAGGTTCTTCGTGTCATGCCCGTTTGGCATATATAGTCATCGAGCTCTTCGCGCATGTACACTTTCAACTGCTCGATGCAGTCCAACACTGCGCTACACCAAGCTGAGTAGATACTAGGCAGTGCTTGCAGGTACTGCTTATGGGTGAGGTTGTCTTCCATCCAATCAAAGCCCTTCATCTGCAGGAACGAGCCGGCGTTCACTGCCATTGGTAGAACCACTCGACCGATTACACGTAGAGCAAGCCAAGAACCCATAGCGTGTAGATGTCTTCTGCTAATCTTCAGACGCTCTTCGCTAGAAAGACCGAGAATTTGCTCGAGGTAGTTGTTGTGATGCGCATGGTTGAGAACAGATCTCATCGCGTGTTGCAGGGCGGACCAGACATTGCGCACGCTAAATTCGACGTATTGATCATTCAAAGTAAGGTGGAGTAGCCACGTGATACTGTTTCGCGAGATTGGAACTCGTTCCCTTGCATATGCTCTCTTGAGCCAGTCGTGGACGCACCAACCGTCGCTTTCGGTGTCTGATATGTCAATGCATTCAAAGAAGAGTCTGAGCATGGCGATCTTGATATCAGCCTGCTCATCGGTACAAGATGCTACGAAGAGTGATACTGGTGATCTGTTTTCCTTAGCAGCGGTTTCGTCATTTGACATTGGGCACCTACAAGATCGCGTCAGAAGGCCCTTCGTATACCAGTGCGGACTTGTCGGCGCCTGCCTTTATCAGCAAAGCGCAGAGCTCGACGTGACCTGCTGCGGCGGCAAACTGGCCAAGTCAGCATACTTGAACGACTCTTCACACAGGAGCAGTGTCTTACGTGCAGTGGCTTCCATCCTTTAGGGCTCGTGTCTACTACGCTTGCCATTCCTCTCTCCAAAAGTGCTTCGACAGCACGAGTCTGACCGGTGCGGCAGAGCTCGAAGATGAGTGAGTCATCGGAGACCGGGCGAGTTACTGTTATGTTACAATTAAAGAGCCAACTTCGACCTCCGGATGCTACGACAGCTTCGAGGCCACTCTGGATGCCCATGTACTGTTGCCATTTTGTGGGGTATAGAATCAGCGATCTGATGATCTGGGACTCTCTAGATCTCTTGGAATACCTGTTGCCGTGGTGTATGGTTGTCGTGCGTAGCCAAGCACACCCGAGTGCAGTGCGGAAGACTGAGACATGGTGATTTACGTGATACCGCAGGTTCTCGGCATAGAAAAAAGTCTTGGCCCTCAGCTGTCCGCATTCATCGATCGTATAGCCGTCTTGTGAATAGATGTCCAGCGATGTCGGTTCGAAGGTGGTGACTGCAGTCTGTGCGATGAAGTGCAACATGAGCTCCTGTGCCTCATGATTGATCGAGAGGCGCTCCGTTGGCATTTTACGTGAAGGCTGTAGTGCGTTCGTCGTAAATGAAGACGTCATACTGCGGAGGGAACGCTGGCCAACGAATTTCGACGGAACATCTTGCACTGTTGTCCAGCTAGACGCGTCTTCGATCCCGGGCAAACGAAGTTGGCCTTCTCGAACGGCTTTGGAAGCATCATGTGTACCGATCTCTCCAAACACTTTCACTCTTGTCGGAAGACGGGAAGAGCGAGATTGAATCACGCTAAATTTGTGTGTTTAGCGAACCACTATTTGCATGCATGCAATTGCGTCATACCTTTCGTGGGCCATAGCCAGTGTAAGTGTCGACTTTGTGTCGTTTAACGAGTCACGGAATCGTTGGATATGTTTGCTGTGAAGGGCAGCTTTGAAAGCCGTACGTACACGTTGCCGCCGCGACAGCGATGAAAGACCACCATCGAATCTTTCAACAATGAGAGTCAGATCCTGCAATGATTAGTTACAGCTTGCGTCCCCAAGCCGATTCGCTTACTGCAATCTTGGCCCGGCAGTGTTGTATACCTTCTGCTAGACAACCGTCAAGATTGTTGCCATTTGATTCGACTCGCTGGAAGACTGAGATCAGGAAGCGAAGATCTTCCTTGATCGCAATGATCTCCCGAGGAGCATCTTCGACTGTCTCCCAAAACGTGTAAAGTTTGATACACGCTTCGGTAAGTTGAAAAGCCACAGATATGACAGCGAGGCCTGAATGCTGTCAGTAAAAGATAATGAAGTAGTTCATCGAAAATACCATTCGCAGCGACCGAAAGTCCTTCCATTGTCTGGAAGCCTAATTACTGATTACATGTCAAGAGCAGTCCGACTTGAGCTTATATTCCAGTGAGCCTACTGCGGTGCAGCAAAGGGGCGAGGTTCACTCACGTCTCAGCATTGCCCGGTTGTGGCTGCGCCAATGCATATTCAATGATTCCCCTGTAGGTTGCCTCGTGCTTTACCTCCACCAAATCCGCGCTGAGTACGTCTTTGAGCCTTGCGCATGGTCATAGCTGGGAAGCCGAGAGACAGCATCGAACAATAATGTGCGCGGCAGTTTGGCGCGCTTGCGTGGATAAAGGCCATGGCAGTTGCCCATTACCTTGTTCCTCTCCGGTTGTAATATCAGCAAACTTCAATGCTTGACAAGACCTGCCCATTAGCTCGATACGATTTCGATGTCTGGGCGACGGTTCGTCAATGGTGCTCGGGTTCAGGAGGCTGGGCCGATCGACGCTTCCGCCCCCACACCATCCACTTGTGGGTGCAGCCGTCACGTAACGGGTGTCGAGGCCGACGCGTTCCAAGAAGCTCTAGAAGACGGGTTCACATACAATAGGCTGGGGCATCGCGTGTCGCAAACTCAAGATGAGAGAATGAGAGCTTACTGGGCAGAGGCACGGGAAGAACCAGCGCGCTAGCGACAAGATGGTCAGCGACCCCCGCACGTGCCGACAGCCACCCCTGGGGCCATCTCGCTTGGGTCTGACATTCATTCAATCAACGAGCATCAACAGCAAAAAGAGATGGCCATGCTTTGGATTTGTTTGCCTTCTCAAAACGCCTTAGAGACTTGCGTTCGGCGAGATGTCTCCGAGCAGGCGACATCCGCGCTAGATATGCGTATACGGTACAGGCTGAGCCAGCCAAAGCGGGTGCAGGATGTTGGATTCACCTGTCTATTCATCCTCCATCTCCGACTTTATCGGCACTTGCCCGTTCCGTCGCTTTGTTAACCCCGCATACGGCGCACCTCTAACAATAGGTGCGATTTCCGAAGCAACGCCAAAAGCACAATGGTTCACGCTCTGGAAGTCGCCAATCCCCTGATACCCATGTTCCCTCATGTACTCTGGATCGTTGCTATTCGCAAGAACACCAAACTTGAGTCTAGTGTGCATCAACTCCAGTGGAAAAGGGTCATTGCCCAAACATGCGCCGCGGCTGATGTCATCCAAGGTAGTGTTCCGTGTAGTCACAAGGATGCGAGAAAAGCCAGTCGAGAATGTCGTCCCGTCTTGCCAGATTGTGAAAGCGCCGAAGAGGAGAATCAGGAGTGTGATGAAGACGACCGGTGCGTAACATTGCCAAAGCCGTTCAGGGACGTAGACGAATGAGGATTGGAGTCGCGAGCGGTTCACTGTAAGCTGTTCTTCGGCGACTGCTAGCATCTCTGGCGCGGATAGCAATGACAGGACCATGTCTGAGTAGAAGGTCTCGATTTCATCCTTTAGGTTTTGCTTAGGCTCGCTGTTCTTCTCGACTAGTCGTGTCTTTGTGACATCGGAATAGACTTGTGCATAGTACGGTCCGGGTAATGGCGGTTCGAGATCAACGTGCCCACGAAGAAAGCCCCTGAACATATCGCCAACAGCATGGTATGCCGCCGTTTTCTTGTAAAGGCCCACATCGCTCCGAGGGCTGATGTAATTTTCCGCTGGTCCCGGATCGAGGGTGTAGTTGATCTTGCCGTCGACTCCCCGCGGGAAGCTAGTATCTAGAACGGGCCTCTGCGGTTCTAGCTTGACCGTGGAATTGAAGAAGGGTTCAGTGAAGTTCCAGCTGACTGTATACTTAGTCTCCATATGTATGCAGCGCATGATTCGCGCATCATAGCGATGTGTCCAGTTCTTTGCGAGGGGGTCATCCTCTGCGAGCTTTACTGTGGAATTGAACGCATAGCCAATCCAGAGCGCAGGTTCTGACTTGAAGACACCCAGGTCGACTGGAATTTCACCATCAGGTATACCACCCGAACCTTTGCGGAAGTTGTCGGCTTGCGGGCGGGCATATTCGCCCTCGTCGACGTCGGCGTAGTAAACGAAGCGGCCTCGCGGTGCCAAAATGCTCATGTTGAAGGGCGCGCCCAATTCCGTTAGTCTCTCATCGTCATCTGCACCACTTGCTATTTCTTCGCATTGGTAGCTCGGCCCAACAAAGCTTTGTTCGTACGTGCAATTGTACCGCCCTCCACAAGCGTCTTGCCGAGCATCTTGCCTGATGTTGGGACGGTCCACGTTGCTATAAGCCAGCAGAAGAGCGACACGTCTTAACTCCGCCGAGGGCTGATCGTAATAGTCAAACCACCCTGGTGCAGTACCAGATAAATCTGTAGTATTGTAATACATCATCGATCTCTTGTTGCTTCCGTCGGCCAACCTCACCGGATGTCGCCAGTCCTTTGTGGACTCCATCGAGAAGTTCAGCGTGGGAACGTTGAGATCGATTGTCTCGCTGTCGATATAGGTTCCGAAGGTAAGCGCACCTGGCGAGAAGATGATTGTTGCCAACGGGACCAGCCAGATGACCTGCAGGTAGACGTCCCCGGTTAGTCATGTTTCGCATACAATTGTTGCGGGGATAGTTACTCACCAAAGCAATAGCGCACAGGACCGGTGCACTAGAAAGGGCCTCCCAATTGCCAAAGATTGTTGGATCTTCCGTAGCCCCGAAGATCTGGTCGATAGACAGCACTGTGAAAGCCCGGTTCCTAAACGCTCTCCACATGCGCTGACGGAACACCAGAACCACACATCCGCCGAAAGCAAGCTTCGATAGATAGGCAAGTGCGCGCCCATACAGAACCCAGCGAAACTTTTTGTCCTCGTCCTCTTCTCGCTGGTGGTGCAAGAAAGTATACAAGAGGTGTTGAAGAAGCGCAAACACGATGCCCATGATGAAAGCAAACACCATGAGTGCTGGCCCACGCCAGTTTACTCGCCATTGAGTTGACTGCGTCGCCCGATGTGCTATCAACCTCTCGGTCATAGGATCTGTTCGCGCTCTCGAGATGCCAGATCCAAACGAATACAGTGTATCTGGTGTTCTGGAGTATGGTGGTCGTGGCCCTGGAGAGTAGTTCGGAGGAGAAAAAGCGCTAGGCTTCGTATTAGGCGTATCCTGCCGCCAATACGTAGAGCCTGGTGATTTGGGTGATGGCATGGGCTCCATTTGGATACCTAGGCCTGGGTCGTTGATGTTCTCGCTATATCTGGATGGCGTCCCGCGCCTGCTGTCGGAGGATTCGTCGCTTGTTCGCGAAGGTATAGAAGCATAATTTGGTCGCGATATGCGAATGTCTGGCGATGCAGGTAAATATGAGTATTGCGGAGTTTGAGGATCCATGTTGGCAGTTGTTGGAGGCGTCCAAAATCGGATTGGCACATAGAGCGCTTGGCTGGATCATGTCTCAGTAGTTTGAGAGTCTGTAGTTGCATGTTTGAAGAAGATAAGGGTCTGCACTGTGGAATAGGTATCCCAGATGGTTTTACAAAAGACCGGTCAGCATTTTCGGAATGGCCGCTCTGGCGTCGTAGCTGAGCTGCATCTTCCTAGGGCTGAGCTGTAACCGTCAGCTGGCAGGGGTTGCACACGTTAGAGGCTCATCATCTGATGTCAGTCGGTCCCCGGTGCTCGCACGGGAGTGTCGCAACAACGACGGCAGCCAGCCGCATCGCGCGACCGACTTATCAGGCCCTTGGCTGCGCCTGGTCCATTCGCGCGCGAAAACTATCATAGTGGCGACGTGTGGCTTACACATTTGAAACGGTCAATGCTGCGGTTGAACATGACGAACGCCTGATGAGCGGTGTCGTGGTGTCTGGTGCAGGAAAGCCATGGAAGGAGGCACGGAGGAAGCTCGGACGGAACAGATGCGTTAGCCGAGAGCCATCCGCAACAAGACATGTACATGCAGCAGCAAACAAAGTCACCACTACACGACACAAATTCATTTGTGCATACAGTCATGCTACAGTGATCTCGCTACATCTCAACAGTTCAGTCCCCTCAGATCTCGTAGAACCTTCTCGCCTCATCCTCAGTCACAGCGCTAGTGTGGCACCTATTCAAGTCCACAAGTCCATACTTGCTCCCCTTGATCTTCCACCACATATCGCGACGATTCCCGTTAAGCTGGCCTCCAAGAATGTCTTCCTTCAATTTCCTGATGAAGGCATTGTATATGTCTGGCTCCTCGAGCTCGACAAGCTCCTCGCGCATGACGCGAATGGCCTCAAGTGCCCGTCCATAAGCATTATCGCCCACACTGTTGCTGATAAGATTACGAATCTCCTTTGCAACGTCGTCCACGGCTTCTTGGATAGCCTCCATGTCATCAGAAGCGGCCAGTGCTTGCTTGAATGAGGGTATGAGGTTGTTGGTTTCGATCTTGACTCGCTTGGGGTTGCCGAGGAGTGCGTCAACATCGAGACCTGAGAGGGGCTTGTCGCGATCACCACGCTGGCGTTTTCCACGTCCTTTGACCTTTGGTGGGACTTTCTTTACATCTGCTGCTTCCATCAACCTCTTCAGTTGCTTTTCCGATGCAGCGAGGAGCTCTGCTGGTGGCGCGGAGTACTTCATTAGGATCTCGGGTGGATCGGGAATAGGCAGCGTAGGGTCGGGGTGCGTCGCTCGCCACTTGATCACATGCCCAATGCGGTGGACAAGGGGTGAAAACGTATCCTCTGGTTTCGCGTACTCCTCTGGGTTACCCTCTTCGTCGCGGCCAAATGTCGATAGATCCATTGCATCGACATAGTCGCTCATTGCGTCAAGGAGCTTGTCGGTAGGCAAGTCTCTATGCTCTGTGATAGTTTTGCCACTGACTGTGAGCTTTCGATCCAACGGTGGGAACTTGTACCGTCTCATATCTTCCTCGAAAGGTAGCTCAACATCGACTAGAGCCTCCCACTCCAGCTCGATACGGGGAACAAGGAGCAGCAATACTGGAGGTTTGAGGTCTTTTGCCACCAGTCTTGCGATCGCATAGCAATCAGCTTCGTAGAGAGCGTGAATGAACGAGGATAAAGCGAGCTGTGCCTGGGTGTTGGCCTTCTGCGGCACGATGTAGTTGGAACGACCCAAAGGGAGATAGCGTTCAAACTCCTCCATCTTTACGAAGCCGACCAATTCTAGAGACTGTTGGGTTTCCAGTTTGACGACATTCATGTCGGACTCTGAGATGTGCACTGCAGTTCTGCCGTATTCATAGCCGCGCTCTAGCTCGTCAAGCTCAACGGGGTTCTTCAGACCAGGCTCATCCAGGTTGTCCACTTGGTAGACGCGCTGGTTGTGGACTGCTGCCAGATCAGGCATCGGCTGGTCTTCGCCCACGATAGTCGCCGATGACTGCCCTGATGCGCCCGGATCCGTTCGTACTGCGAACGTACTTGCTGTGGGTGGCTTTGATATCATGGTACATGGATATCGCTCGACGTCAATGGTAATGGTGGCCTCGTACTTGCTAGCATCTCCCAATGTAAGCGAGCCTCTGTAGCTCTGAACAGGCCGGGTTTCCTTGAGGCGCGGTGTATGGAGCTGATCGACGGCTGTCGCAAGTGTGCCGAAGTTGCCATCGCAGTCATTTATAAAGCTTTTCAATATACCTTCGTTCTTTGCCTAGATTGGGTCAATCATTGTCCGCTTTGGAGATCGTGTTACATACCTTTTCCGCGTTCTTGCCCTCCTCTTTATAACCCACGTCTTCGTCGTCAAAATCGAGACCGAGCAACACGATCTCGAATGGAGCAGCCGGGTCTTTGATCTTCGCCGCCATCTCTTCGAGATCGCTTGTGTCCATTTGACCGCGACCGTCAGTCACAATGATCACCCTGCGATCGTACTTCAATGGGTTGCCTTTGGCACCTTGTGTCGCATTGCCAATCATGTAGACAGCTACCGCAAGTGCAGAAAGCACTGTGACAGTTAGCAGGAAGTAAAACTAAAGATGCATGTTACTCACGGTCGCCGCTGTCTGTCGTGCTTGGCTTGAGTTGGTCTTGCAGCATCCGAATGTCGCCGAGTAGATATCTCGAACCTGTTAGTACATGCAAAATAGTTCGTTTCTGACAGCTTACTGCTTCAAATTTGAGAACACTTTTATATTTTCGTATCCTTCCCCTTCTTCCATGTTGCCAGCAAGATCTGTTTCATCGGTCCGACAGCCAATCACGCTCATCAGCGCGGTCTTTCTGCCTGACGCGACCTACACATCCATTAACCTTCGAGACATGACGGCATTGGGCGGAAATTGGAGCTTGACGAGCATTGAACATACTAAATCTCCAAATGAACGTCGACTTACAGTAGTGGTAATCTTGTCCCACACATACTCCAATGCCCAATCCAGGTCTGTCTGATCGCGGCCATGTCTCATTTCACCCATCGACCGCCCCAGATCTAGGATGTAGACTGTCGCCTCTTTTCCAGCCATGATTGCGTTACAGTATGCTTCTTTTGCGCGCTTCGCGTGTGGTGACTAGCGTCGCGGGCCGCTGGCTTTACGACGTCAAAACACTGGAGGCCGAATGGGTGATGTGCTTTAGCAGTGTTGGACGTGATGAATTGAGGAAGTCGCAAATAAAAGAAAGAGCGAAGGCATGAGATGTTGTAGTCGTCGCATCAGACGGCACGGTGTAGCCTGTTGCGTTAGGCAAACGTGGCACGGACCATGTGCTGGAACGCGAGAACATGTGACGAGCTAGCCTCATGGAGCTCTAGAGGAAGGACCGCAGCATGGTTTCGCTGATACGTTCACGGAACTCGTACAATGTTCACACGAAGCTCTTTATTGTGGTTCATCTTCAGTGGTAGAATAGCTGATTGAAATTAGTCGGCTTCTACTTGTGTTGATAAGATATGAATAAATGCAAATCTAAATTGCACTCGAAATAAATCCTGTCTTTCGCGCTCGAGCCCGAGGGGTCTTTTTGCGAGGGAACTTTGGTTGTGTACATTGGGGGAGAAATATTCGGTAACGGTGGTTCGCCAGGTTCTTCGTCTGAGTTGGTCGTCTCCATGCTTGAAGTAAATTGGATGTCTTGGGATAATTTGGTCTACATGCATCCACCAAACGATTTCATATAATCTCTTCCTCCATGTAAAGTCTATCCAAATCTCATAGTCAAAGCCTCAGGTTTACTCCCCATAACCTGTTCAATCTCCTCCAAATTCTCCTTGGTCAACTTGCGATAAACATCAACCGCCTTG